AGTAAATGCAGCATTAAATTAGACTAAGGAAGGGGATGTCTTTATTCTCTACCCTTGCATCTGACTGATGAGATCATTCCCAAGATATTTTTTTAGTATGTTTAAAGAGAATCTAAAGCAAGTTAATAAAAATAAAAATGTGTCCAAACATGGAAAGATTGATTGATGGGGGAAAAACCTGGAGATGTTAAATGTCTCAGAAAAGACTTAATAGAAGAGGTGGCCATGAGCATTTAAAAATATAAACTAGGCAAAGAAGTGAAGAAGTGCTTGGAGAAATAAAACACAGAAACAAAATTGAATTAAGAAAAACATAACAGGGGCACCTGGGTGGCACAGTCGATTGAGCGTCTGACTCTTGGTTTCGGCTCAGATCATGATCTCAGGGTTGTGAAATCAAGCCCTGGGTCAGGTTCCATGCTCAGTGAGGAGTCTGCTTGAGATTCTCTCCCCCTCTCTGCCCCTCCCACTCATGATCTCTCTCTAAAATAAATAAATCTTAAAAAAAAAAAAGCAAACATAAAAAATAATTAAAAATAGGGATAGGTTAAATAGACGATGGAGATTAAGAAGTGTACTTGTGATGAGCACCAGGTGTTGTATGTAACTGTTTAATCACCAAATTGTACACCCGAAATTAATTTTACACTGTATGTTAACTAAATGGAATTTAAATAAAAACTTTAAAAAATAAACAGTATATTCACTAATAATAATAATAATAAATTGTGTTAAATATCAAAATTTAACTTTCCAAGAAAAGTTAGTCGCTGTCATGTCCACTGCCTACATATGGTAAATTGACTATCATCTAGTAAAGCTTTGCCCAATAGCAATGAAGAAATCACTACATAAGCAGAGCCCTTGAGTAGGAGAGAGGTGAAAGGGCAATATTATAACTTTGTTCCTCTAGGAATCAGGTCCTGCTGACCTCTGATCTAGGTAGGTGTGATTAAATCTTAATATAGGCAACTTCCTAATCCAAAAAACTTATAAAGAAGGCTGTGAATAGATATTCATTCTAAAACCACATTCATACTAGGAGATAACTATTGAACTCAAAATAAATGTGTATTCATAAAGTAAAACACAATTTTTCTCAGGAAATTATCCCTCATTCTCACCCAAAAATTGCAGCTAAAACAAGAAGTAAATTCTATCCCGGCCTCACTCGTCCAAAATCAACGTGAAATATGGGAGTAAAACATTAGAATTAGTGTAAGAAGATCTGGGCACCAATCATGATCCCATCATTTATCAGCTTTATGGCCTTGGGCAACTTGCTTCTCTTGATCTGCTTTCCCAATGGGAATGCTCTTGACTAATAACTGTCCTTCCTAAATCATGTATTGCTATGAGGATCAGATGAAATGATGCCCTGTAAAAGGGATTGCAGACCAAAAGAGTCAAGGAAGTTGCCCAGGGGTGCCTGAGATGACTCTGAAAGAACAGACGGAAGAAACATGGTAAGAGTTCACTTCAGGGAGAGGGAGCATGGATGCAAGATAGATAACTGGGTTTCCAGAGAGCCATCAGTGGTTACATCAATATGTCTGCAAGACCCAAACTTTTAGGGAAGATGGGGCTGGAGAAGAGCTGGATCAAGAAGGAAAGAAGAGCTGAAGAAGAAGCTGAAGAAGAGCCAGGCTGAAGAGCTTATATTTTAGCCTGGGGAAGGTCGGGCTTAAGTTTTACAATTTCCCTCTTTCAAATCAGCAAGAGCAGGAGCTCCCCAACAACACATGGGCACATGTTTTTCTCATCATAGAGTAAGTTTACCATGTACAGAGAGTAGAGAAAGGATTACCAGTGTACTGCCTCTTTTAGAGAATTTTTGCTACTTCAGGAGAGCAAAACTTGCCACCCCAAAATGTGTATCTTTGGCATGTGGATTATTTGGGACTGATTCTTTTTCCAGATTTTCTTCCAGAAAACTCGGGAAGAACCTTTCACCTTCCCACTAACTGGCTAAAAAATTTTAGATACAAGACCTCCTCCAGGAAGGGAGCTCTCACCACAGGTAACTATAGTATATGAACTAGGTGTGGACAAGGAGGAACATAGCAAAGTTTGCTTATTAAAATTGCTCTCTGTGTCCCATTGTTTCTCTGTGGCCCAGCAAATATTTGCTTATCAAACATTTACTTTTTTTCATCTTCCTGTGAATTATCTTCCTTCCTTTTGAAGTCCCAAACCTGTACTCCCTTCTCCTTTGCTCTGGGTGACGTATATGCCACATTTTGCCTGACTATCTTTGGAATCTCTCATGTTTATGTGGATTCACTATACATAAGCAATTAAATTTTATTTTCTTCTGTTAATCTGTCTCATGTCAGTTTAATTCTTAAACCAGCCAAAAGAATCTTGAAGGATAAAATAAATATCTTCCTCCCCAACACTACCAAATCAACAAGGACCTGTTGATAACAAACTCACATCCATTAAGCCATGAAAACAGCTTTATTATATGAAAACTTCAATCACTTAAATGATCAAATAATCCTGAATTTCTGCAACGATCAATGGTCAAGGATCTCAGATAAAGCTTCAGCTCTCTTTCCCAAGGTCCTGTTAATTCAATATTCAGAAAATCACAGAACAATGATGCCCAGGCTTTTGAATTACTGACACCTCTCAAATTAAAAATCCTTTTGTGGAACACCTTCCACATAGCAGGCACTGAGATACAGACTTTCACTATAATGTCCCTTTTAATTCTCCTGAAGACATGGTTTCTTCTTTAAATTTAATATCATAAAAATCAATAATATTCTGAGAATTTCGTAAAACCTTTGAGATCATTAGCATATCCCTATAGGGGTTTTTCCCCCAAAATGAGAGTCATTAGGCTAGAGAGAAGGAGAAGGGCCTTTATCAGTGGCTGTAGCATTATCTACCTTACTACCCCTAACCTTTGAACCCTTGTTTTGAAATCATTCCCAAAGCCTCATCCAAGCTGATACTGTTTTCTTTCCTTCTTTTCAATAAATTCCAATAGAAATGGCAAGTTTTCAAGTTTTCACTTGAAAAAAACACACAACAAAAAAGTGAACAGGGCGCCTGGGTGGCTCAGTCGATTAAGTGTATGACTCTTGACCTCAACTCAGGTCATGATCTCAGGGTTGTGAGGTTGAGTCCTGCATTGGGCTCTAATTCAGTATGGAGTCTGCTTGAGATTCTCTCTCTCCCTTTCCTTCTGCCCCCTCCCCCCTCTCTCTCTCAAATAAATAAATAAAATCTTTTTTTAAAAAGTGAACAATTTTAGTTAGTGATAAGTGTAAAGAAGGAAGGCACAGCACTTCTGGGAAGGCCTCTCTGAGGGGACGACATTTGGACAGAGACCTGAATCTCAGTGATGTGAGGGCACTAGCCCTGAAGAGATGCAGAGAGAGCATTCCAGGCAGAGGGAAAAGCAGATGTAAAATTCCAAGGTCTAGAACAAGTCTGGTGTATTCCAGGTCCCAGGGAGGGGGAGAGTGAACATCAGATAGAACGTAAGAGAACTGGGGCACCTGGGTGGCTCAGTCGTTAAGCGTCTGCCTTCAGCTCAGGTCATGATCCTGGGGTCCTGGGATCGAGCGCCGCATCAGGCTCTCTGCTCAGTGGAGAGTCTGCTTCTCCCTCTCCCTCTCCCTCTGCTGTTCCCCCTGCTTGTTCTCTCTCTCTCTCTCAAATAAATAAAATCTAAAAAAATTAAAAAAAAAAAAAAAAGGTAAGAGAACTGGTAGGGACCAGATTACAAAAGACCTTATAGGACATGATTTAAAAGATTACTTTTTTAAATCTTTTTATTTGGAAATAATTTCAAACTTACATAAAAGTGAAAATATAATAGTACAAAGACGACTTATATGCCTTTTATCCAGATTTGTCTATTGTTAACATTTTATCCCATTTCCTTTATCACTTGTGGTGTGTGTGTGTGTGTGTGTGTGTGTGTATAATTTCTTGGAACCATTTGAAAGTTGCATGCATCATGGCCCTTTGCCCCTAAACACTTAAATGTGTATTTCATAAGAATGGGAATATTCACTTATATAACCACTGTATGGTAAGCAACTTCAGTAAATTTAGCATTAATACAATAATTTTAACTAACCTCCCATCCGTGATCCAATTTTATCTATTTACCTAACAACGTCCTTTACAGCCTTTTTTCTCTCCTGTATAGAATCCTGTCTAGAATCAGGTATTTCATTAGTTGTCATGTCCCAAACAATACATTACTCATTTTGGGTTTCTATGATGTTTCCTTAGTTACTTGGTTCAGGAAATGGATCCCAGCCAGAATACTACCTAAGTGATATTGTGTCCTTCCCAAGTTAGCACATCTAGAGGAACTCAATGTCCATCTGCCCTTTACTGGTAATGTTAATTTTAAATATTTATTTATTTATTTTAGCGGGGAGGGGCAAAAGGACAGAGAGAGAGAATTTCAAGCAAACTCCCCATGGCAGTGTAGAGCCCAATGAGGTACTCGATCTCAAGACCCTGAGATCATGCCCCAAACCAAAATCAAGAGTTGGGCACTTAACCAACTGAGCTACCCAGGCGCCCCCCTGATAATGTTAATTTTAATTACCTAGTCAAGGTGTTATCTGATTTCTCCACTATAAAGTTACAATTTTTTTTTCTCACAACCAAGAGATTGGAATGAAAAGGAAAAGCCGGCTAAGAAGATTGAGAACAAATGGACAATGATGTAGAAGTAGACCAAGGGTCCAATATCCTAAAGTCAAGTCAAGAAAGTGTTTGAAGAAGGAGCACAAATTATTTGATACTAATTTTATATTACACATTTAGTGATACTTAATATTTTTATGCATTATGGAAATAGAACCTTATAGTTCACACTTCATACTTTTCAATGAGCTTCCAGACACCATGTCTCTTTAGGCATACTGAATTGAGTAAGAACAAAATTGGAAAACAGTAAAAATCAAAGAGTTATAGCCTCTGTTCCTATACCATATGGAAGTGAGTGACAAACCCAGACTTACATGAATCCAAATCCATAATGTGAACAGTCCCAAAACTGAAACACGTATCCTTAAGAAGATCAGCATTTCTTGGAGACAATAGAGGAACATTATGGTTACAAATGTGGACTTAACAACAAGTAAAATAAACGTTTATCTAATACATCCTAAATGCCAGGCAAGGTCCTAAAGCTATAGCAGAGAACAAAACAAAATAGCTACCCCTGCTTACGTAATTACCTTCTGGGGGGTCTAAGAGACGTGCACTTGCATCCTAGTTCTGTCCTGTGACCTTGAGCAATCAACTTCTTGCAAACTTGCTTTTCTTTTATAATGAGGTTGCTAACTTCTACCTCATACTTCTAACTGGATATGGCAGAGTGAATTCAAAGGTTTACCTCTATGTCACTCCTAAAACTCTGCTAAAATTTCTCTAAGGGAGAGAGGAAAGGTATAAACCAACAAAGACAAAGAGAATGGCAGAACATAAAGCAGTAATAAAATTTTGAAAACCAGAAAACAGATGAACAAATGATAATCAATTTAGTAAATCAGAAAGCACTGAAACCCAAGTCAACAAGAGAAGTCCAAGAAATGGATTGATTCACATTGTAGTGCAGTTTAGGAGTCTGCAAAGTGGTTTAGGTAAAGGCCCAGATTTAAGCCTTGCAGGTCATGGGGTCTCTGTCACAATCAGTCAAGTCTTCTTCGTAAAGCAAAAGCAGCAATAGGGCAATACACAGCTAGTGGCATGGCCATGTTCCAGTAAAGCTTCATTTATGAAAAAGAGACAGGGATTGAGGGAGAAAGGATTATGATTTGGCAAGCAGACCAGATTGCTAAAGTCTGGTATAACACCTCAGGGATGAAGGCATCAGATCCCTCCAAAGGCAGCAGAGCAATGGTTCTAAAAATCAGAGTGAGAATGTGTAAAAGAGGGAGGTAGGACCCCAGAACCCCTTTCCCACCAACTTCAGCCAGATGAAAGCCCCTCCCACACCCTGCCAGAAGACTAGAGAATTATTGTCTGGGAAACTGATTCAGTACCCAATTCTGGGCTTGGGTACATATGAAGGTGGGTGTGAGATGTCTTACTAAAAACAAGAAATTAAAAAAATCTCAAACCCTAGTCCTCACTCAGCTGGCAGGGCCTGGCAAGCAGGCTTGGGCTCTTTCCACAGAAAACTGGTAGATTTCTCTCTGGAGAAACTGATCAATCCTAGAGAAAAGATCTAAAGAGGCTGAGAGTTGGTGGTCACCCAACAGAACAATCCAGACAGAACTTCCTAGAGTAAGGCTCACTGGTTTAGCCTCCTCCACCCAAATACAATTAACGGTCAGTTTTTTACTGCTTCTATCTTAAAAAATCATCCTTTGTCACTAAAGACAGGAATCAAAATGAACATATAGGAATACTTTTTTTAAAGAAAGAAAGAAAAACTCAGAGGAACAGAGCAGGTAGCTAAGAAAGCTTCAAAATATAATAATTAATTCTCCTCAGAAGATAAGAGAAGATATTGCATCCATGAATTAAAAATAGGAAGCCAAAAAAAACAAAGCACTGTCAGAGAACACAAGAACGCCCCTGGGAATTAAAAATACAATGGCAGAGATGAAGAATTCACAAGAAGCACTGGAAAATAAAGTTGAGAAAGTCTCCCAGAGACTAGAACAAGAAAACAAGAAAGAAAAAAAATAAGAAAATCAGTGGATCAATCAGGAAGTCTAACATCTAAATAAGAATCATTCCAATCAGAGAGAACAGAGAAAATACACTGTATTCTATAACTTTGTATTTTTATAAAATGACTTTTTTTTAAAGCAAAGAGAGAATACAATTTCAATTTATAACCCCAGGAATTTGTCTGTTGAGAAAAGCCTGTAGACAAACCAGAAAGGATCATTCACATTCCACTTAATATTTCTCTCCAACACATATTTAGGCTCATTATTCAAACCAGTAAAGGACAAACAAATTAGTTTTCTCTTTTCTAAGCCATGCAAATCAGTTTCAATAATCTAATCTAATTCTTATGTACATCCCCTACTGCTTTTATCAAAGAATTTCATCAAGGCTTGTCACCCCAACTTTCATCTGTGCCTGAGCATCCCTAGAATTCAGGCTCTCCACACAGAATCCTCCAATTTTCTGGCAGGTGTGGGAAGGGCTTTACCGACTGCAGGAGAGAGGGATCTGGGGGCCCAGGTGTCTCTTTTAGACACTTTCAACCAATCATCCTGTTTCTAAATCCTCTACCCACCACTTTCAGAAGTATCTAGTGCCTTCAGCCCATACACTTTTTATTTGAATTAGATGTGCCTTTTATTTGATTTAAACATTAGACATTTGTGCACAAATGACAAATCCCTTCAACTGATTAATTTCCAAAAGGTTCCCCCCAAAATTCCTAGATGCAGATGCAAAAGAGCTTATACAAAACTAGCTTCTTTGTACAAAGGGGAAATGCACTTATTTTCTCTCTTACAGACACACAGAGATATGGCAGCCTCAGTTTTTCAACTTTAGCCAACATCAAGAGCAAGTACAGACTCATGAGAGTCCACTACTCTAGTTTACCCTTGAAATTGTCACAGACCTTTAGATACTTCCACATACTTTCCAAAGAGTCCTCAAAACAAACCTTGGCTTTCAGTCTCTAAACCGGAGACGGAAGTCCAACAAGGTCTTCCAGGCTCTCCCCCTACAGACAGTTTCTGGCATCTAAACCTGGTTGCTTAGAATGTGAGACTCTGTTTTTTAAAAAGAAAAAGAAGAACTCTTTTAATCATTTAGTCAATTTTCACCCAGCAGTCATTTTAAAAGAAGAGGTTCTCTTAGTTTTTTTTTTATTCTTGTTAATCCCCATACATTACATCATTAGTTTTAGATGTAGTGTTCCATGATTCATTGTTTGTGCATAACACCCAGTGCTCCATGCAGAATGTGCCCTCCTCAATACCCATCACCAGGCTAACCCATCCTCCCACCCCCCTCCCCTCTAGAAACCTCAGTTTGTTTTTCAGAGTCCATCGTCTCTCATGGTTCGTCTACCCCTCCGATTTCCCCCCCTTCATTCTTCCCCTCCTGCTACCTTCTTCTTCTTCTTCTTTTTTTCTTAACATATATTGCATTATTTGTTTCAGAGGTACAGATCTGAGATTCAACAGTCTTGCACAATTCACAGCGCTTACCAGAGCACATATCCTCACCAGTGTCTATCACCCAGTCACCCCATCCCTCCCACCCCACCCCCCACTCCAGCAACCCTCAGTTTGTTTCCTGCGATTAAGAATTCCTCATATCAGTGAGGTCATATGACCTCTTAGTTTTCAATTTTAAAATAGTAAAGACATTTAACCAAGGCAGAAGGACAGGTCAATGGCGATCAGACTTTAACACATGAGCTCTGAAATTGAACACACCTGACACTCATTAAAAACTCAAGGGTCAGCAGTTGCAGCATCAAAACATGAGAATCAGGGAGATGCAGAAGTTCTTAAAGCTACACTGGCTTTGACATTCCTTGGCCCAGAAATGCTTCTTCATTACTTTGCATGCTTGTGAGGTGAGTACACTTTTTTTTTTTCCCTGAGACCAAGACAAAGAGCTAAGATGATTCTATCAGCAGCCAGAAAGGCAAATATTCAATGGCACAGGGAGTGATGTGAATAATACCTTGCTAACGCCACAGTTGAGAAAGATGACTGGTCTGAATAAACCAAGTCTAATGACCCTGTGGCAGAAATGGGTGTCCCAAATGCCTGGAAATAAGAGAATTCTCAATAAAGACAAAGAGGTCATACATAAAGATTCATCTAGATTGCCTGTTATCTCCTAAGGAGAAGAATTCCCCTATCATTTTTTAAAGTATAATTAACATACAGAGTCCATCCATAGATGAATAGATAGAGAAGATGTGATGTGATGTGTGTGTGTGTGCGTGTGTGTATCCACACATATACACAATGGACTATTATTCAGCCATTAAAAAAAGAATGAAATTATCCCATTTGCAACAACATAGATGGATCTAGAGAGTATAATGCTAAGTGAGATAAGTCAGTCAGAGAAAGACAAATACCATATGATCTCACTCATATGTGGAATTTAAGAAATACAAAAATGAACAAAGAAAGAAGAGATAAAGAAACAAACTTAACTATTGAGAACAAACTGGTAGTTGCCAGACGGGAGGTGGGTGGGGGAATGGGTAAAATAGATGAAGGGGATGAGCAATGAGTAATGTATAGAATTGTTGAATCATTATATTGTACACCTAAAAGAATTTACCCATCTTTGATAGTAAGATCAAAAACAAAAACAACAAATTCTAATTTTTCCTCTACTAATGAAGGCATTGGAAGAGCTGCTTTAAAAACAAAACCAGATTTAATCTATAATTGGAGTAATATAAAATCTTCACTACCAGATGATAAGATTCACCCTGAGAGCTGAACAAGTCAAATCTGCATTCTTGGGGCCCATGAGATGCATATCTCAGATAACACAAGATAAATGACTCCCAGAGTTGGGTGATCTTGTTGGGACCTGTAACTGTCCCATGGATCCATGGTAGATCCATAGTAACTGTGCAAGGAAAACTCAGAAATAATGGTCAGCTTTTAAAAAGTAGTTTTATGGGCGCCTGGGTGGCTCAGTTGGTTAAGCGACTGCCTTCGGTTCAGGTCATGATCCTGGAGTCCCAGGATCGAGTCCCATATCGGGCTCCTTGCTCAGCAGGGGGTCTGCTTCTCCCTCTGACCCTCCCCCTTCTGATGTGCTCGCTCTCTCTCATTCTCTCTCTCAAATAAATAAATAAAATCTTTAAATAAATAAATAAATAAATAAAAAATAAATAAAAAGTAGTTTTATTTGTAATTTTATATTTATATCTCAGAAAAACCAGTGTCTCAATAAAAGATATAGCTAATATTTAAAGAAAAAACCTCAATGTTTCAATTAGTCTGTTCATAATGCTCAGTGATGGAAAATAATAGTTATCCACATAATGTAACTGCAAGGATCTTACATATCTGTTAACATCCACCTTTAGTTAGGGAGTTATCAACTTGTAGAAAAGGGGCTCAAGGCATCATCTATCTTGCAAAATAGAGTTAGATACAGTGATTGTGTGCATGCACATGTGAGTGCACACACTTTATCTTTGGGTTTCAAGGTGCTTAGATAAAAGCAAGGTAAGATATCTGTTTTGCTGCCCCACACTTCTATGACTTAATTCCACTTTCTGCTTAAAGTACTTCACATATAAAGCTTCACATCATAACTAACACCATACACAGCTTTATCTGAATGTCAATTATGCATTAAGAACTATCTAAACACTGGAAATATAGTGGTTAAGAAGACAGAAAAAGTCCCTGACCTCATCTTTAAAAATTGAACCCATGCTTTACTCATTATAACATCCATCAAAGCATCTCGCTTGGTACCTCAGATATATATAATAGATGCCAAAGAAATGATTGTGAAATTGAATTGAATTTTTATTAGAGGTTCATTTCTAAATGAAGTTCATTTGTAGTGATGCTATTTGTAAATGGCTATTTGGGTGCAGTTATTGTATCAATCAAATGTGAATTGATCAAAACTCACTCACAGTTTTTCACAAACACACAATGCATCAGCACCGAGACTGATGTTGGTTAGTACGAATCAGTGCAATTGTTTGTTAGACTCTAAACATTAATACCTAATGACAGCTGTTTTAATCTTAATGCCTCTTAACATTTCCATTTCTGAGTCATTACAATTAAAAATACTTTTATATTTATCCATAGATATTTGAATTCTTCCTTTTAAGTTAAAGATAAATTATTAAAAACTTCCATATAGTATAATTCAGTAAAACTTGTTTTTTCATCCAAAGCTGGCTTACAATGAGTATACAGTTTTTTCCCTCAATCACTAATATTTTCCTCAATCCCAAATCAGCCAAAATTTGCCAAGCTGTGGGCAACTCCAAGGCAGGGGCTATTACCTCAAAATGTCCAGTACAACACCTGACATAAAGCAAAATCCCCATTCTAGATATTGCTGTGAAATTATGTTTTAGATGTGTGATTAACATTAACAGTCAGTAGACTTTGAATAAAGAAGGTTTTCCTCCCTCCCAAAATGTGGGTGGGCCTCATCCAATCAGCTGAAGGCTTTAAGAGCAAACACTGAGTTTTCTTAAAGAAGAAGGAATTCTGTCTCAAGACTATAACATAAAAACCCTGCTTTAGTTTCCAGGATGCTGCCCTGTGGAATTTAAACTCAGGACTGAAACATCAATACACCCTGAGTCTCCAGCCTGCCAGCCTGCCCTACAAATTTCAGATTTGCCAGCCCCACAATTGCATGAACCAGTTCATTAAAATAATCTGTGTGTGTGTGTGTATCCTATTGGTTCTATTTCTCTAGAGAACCCCAAGCCATAGACCTCCTCATTCACCCATACCCTTCCCCAAAATTAATCAAGTCATCTCTGGTTACTGCTATTTTGGGCTTCCAAGTCTAGTTGTGAGCACAATTTTTAAAATACCCCTTCCTAGGTTAAGTACATCCTTGACCTGCTCTATATACTCCCCAAAGTCTCCAGCAGCCTTGACCAGCCTTCTGTCCTCCTGAGTGACTGGAAATGGAAAATCATTTATTACCTCCTGACTCCTAGTCACCATGGTATGGCCTGCCTAGGGCCTTCACGTTCTGTCTGGAAGTATTTATTTGGTTGCTGACAGCCTCTTATATAGTCCACACTGAGCAACTGGGGTACTAGAAGTCTGTTGGAAAAGTGAGCGGGGATGTTTCAAGGAGGGGCTGGGGGATTACACAGAAACCAGGCAGAGTGAGGGTCATCACCGTGAGCTTCACCTGCTCCCCCACTGTGTCCAGGGATGTCTGTCATGAAGGAAAGAACTGTGGCTTTGTATGTGTATTTTAATGTAACTCAAAAAAATGAAGGTACTGTTCAAATGATAAAGTATCCAGCTGCTAAATTGTTTTTTACTTTTCCCTAGAAAGGAAAATAAGCCTTGGGTGTTTTCAGACTGATTACAAAGGTTTTGCTCTAGATTTTATTGAAGCAGATGGGTTTGGCTGCCTTTTTTGTGGCTAAAAGCCATGTTCACCCAAATCACTCATATCTTTGTCATTCTAATTGTTCCACAGTTCACTTTGAGAAGCTCTTAACAGCTTTTCTTTCTATTTTAAAGTATTGCAGAGAGAGCTAAGGCTGGTATTCAAGTATGCAGGCTTCCCTATAAACATCTCAGGGCCCAGGCTGTGAAAGCTAAATATTTACTGAACCCCCTCTCTCAAGGTCAGCAGAGACATTCAACTAACCAAATCCAATGACCTTTTATCTGTCTTTATTCTATTTGACCTCCTCCATTCATGTTAAAAAAACATCTACAGAGGCCTACTGGGTATCCGGCTCTTATCTAGGCACTAGGGACAAAGAAACCAACAAGACACGGTTTCTACTCCCAAATGAAGTGAAAGAAAAGGAGAGATAATATTAAGATATGTGTGATGGTTCCACAAGAGCATGTGAATTAAAGGTATGCGTGAAGGAGCACAGAAGACTGCCTTATTCAGGCTGGGATTTCAAGAGATGACTTCCTGAAGGAAGAAGCAGGAACTCATTCACAAAGCGTAAGTAGAAATTACTCATTGGATGAGGGAGAGAAAGATGACCCGGAAAAAGAATCACTGTGTAAAAGTAGCAAGGCATGGGACAGCAGGAAGCATTCCAAGAACTGCCAGAAAATTGACTGGAGGAAAACAAGTATATGGGGATGGCCAGATGTCAGGCAGGACAAAACAGGGGATAGGGGAGTCCCCAGAGGATCCTAAAGGAGCACTCTAACAGCAACACAGAAATGAGGGGGAGGAAGGCAGAAAGATTCTTTAGGAAGCTACTGGAAAAGCCCATGATGAGAACCTGAATGAAGGAACTG